CGCTTCGGAAACAAGGGACAGGGGAACACACACACACACACACACAAAATAATCCACAGCGAAGAGCACAAACTAGCCGCTACCGGTGTCTCCTTCTCGGAGAACAGGTAGACGTGCCGACGGGTCAAAGGTTGGGCGCAAGTGACTGGATCGGTTAGCGCGCATCCCATATAACCACGGAGGGCCTGACCGGCAGTTGAGTTAAAATAAAAAAAAAGGCGTTTTGTCAAAGTATGTCAGTGCTGGTCTGGTGGTTAGGCTTTTAAACTCTCAACTGTAAAGTCATGTGTTCAAATCCTGTTAGAGGCCTAATGGTTGTTTATGTGGGACAGGCACTTTACATATGTTTTGCTCACTTAACACAAGCGGGAATGGGTACAAATGGAGAAAGATCATGTCAGTTTGCTAGTATTTGACAGCTTAATTGGCTAATTGTACTGGATGTTTCATAAGGAGCGGAAGTGTTTCTAAGTTTTGTAGGGTCTGCTGGGTTCGATAGTAGTTAAGTGCGTAGAGCATGCTGTAGAGCTTAGATATGCTGTACATAAATGCAATTATTGTTTTACATTCATTTCCTGTACTTATGTTTTTTCTCTTCTCTCTCCGTGGGTGGTTGGCGGGTGCTCCGGTGTGTTTGACTTCTTCTTTCCTACCAAGCGTCTGTCGTCCTCATCTCTCCGCCTTCTCTTTTGTTTATTACTCCCTTGTGACACCTCTAATCTTCGGCACTTGTATGACCTTATTGTGTTGCAAGCGCCATTATATACTACTTACTATAATGCAGCCTGTCTATATCGACATCGTCGAGACCAGAAAAAAATGTCGTTACAGAGAGTTGTCGTTATAGAGAGGTGACCAAAAATATTACTAATGATAAAAGCAAATAAGTAGGATCTGGGCACCATGCCACTATACAGAGGATGTCGTTATATTGAAGGTCGTATAACAAAAAAATATCTCCTAATTTAACAAAAAAGTCTCTCTTACTATAACACATTAACTCATTGAAGACGCACTGTTTCTCGGAGTACATACTTTAAGAATATAGAGGCATAGTTTCGTTTTTTGAGCAGATTTTTCCATTCTGTTTTCTTTGTCTGAAACTTTAATGAGGCATGCAAAAATGTATGCATGCTATGAAATATGCAAAGTGACACATTAGGTTTGTCTACGATGGTTCGAAACGTGCTGCAACGTCGCCTTTGGTCTGTTACTGATTGCTGGTCGGACACATGCGTCCGCTTTGTCCTTAAAGAGTTAAAAATCTCTTACTATTTATAACTAAAAAAATCTCTCTTACTATAAAAAAAAAAAATCTGTCTTACTATAACAAAAAACAAAAAAATCTCTCTGATAACAAAAAACATCTCTCTTACTATAACAAAAAAATCTCTCTCACTATAACAAAAAACATCTCTCTTTACTATCATACCATAACAAAAAACATCTCTCTTACAAAAACAAAAAACATCTCTGTTACTATAACAAAAAATATCTCTTACTATAACAAAATCATCTCTTATTGTAATCTCATACTATAACAAAAAAAAATTTCTCTTACTATCTCTCTTACTAAAACACTATAACAAAAAAATCTCTTACTAGAACAAAAAACATCTCTCTTACAAAAACAAAAAAACATCTCTCTTACTATAACAAAAAAAATCTTTCTTCCTCCCCCACCCTCCTGACCAGGACGTGGACGGCTGTGTGACCATCGAGGAGATCACGGACCAGTTCGGCCTGCTCAAGCTGTGCTGTAACCGCAGCTGGCACCTGCAGGCGTGCGACGGGATGAGCGGCCACGGGCTGGCTGACGGGCTCGAGTGGCTGTCGCGACAGATGGTGGCCGCCGGCGCGCCCGAATTGGCTTAGTAGTCGTGTGATCAACTGGTTTAGTCATGTGATCAACTGGTTTAGTCATGTGATCAACTGGTTTAATCATGTTGTCAATTGGTGTAGTCATGTGATCAACTGGTGTATGATAATCATGTGATCAACTGGCTTAATCATGTGATCAACTGGTTTAGTCATGTGATCAACTGGTTTAATCATGTTGTCAATTGGTGTAGTCATGTGATCAACTGGCTTAGCTGTGTGATTAACTGGTGTAGTCATGTGATCAACTGGTATACGGTAGTCATGTGATGAACTGGCTTACTCATGTGATGAACTGGCTTACTCATGTGATGAACTGGTGTAGTCATGTGATCAACTGGTATATGGTAGTCATGTGATCAACTGGCTTAGTCAGGTGATTAACTGGTGTAGTCATGTGATCAACTGGTATACGGTAGTCATGTGATGAACTGGCTTAGTCAGGTGATTAACTGGTGTAGTCATGTGATCAACTGGTATTAGGTACCACAAGCGAAATTTTTTTGGAACAATATTGACGTTTAAACCTCAGGAGATCAAATCTACTCTATGAAATAAGAACATTAAAAAAAGAATTATCAAAATCCATCAATAAACAATCGAGATATGGTATTTCAAAGTTTTATTTTTAAACGAAACCTTTTCAACTGCGACTTTCACCCATGTTTGAGGTGTTCTAAAATACAAAGT